AAGAATTCCTCATTAGCAGTAGTTAATGCAGTCACCTCAGGCATACCTCCTGTTACAATTTTGGCAGATTACTTTAATATTAAATCACACTGCAGTAACTGCAGTACATATGTAATGCTAGGTTAAGAATGCCGGTCCATTTTGGTGACTCAGAGAATCAGTGTTTAAAAAATAAATCTTGTTTAGGCAAAACTCTGTCAACATGACTTGTTTAGTCAAAGTCACACACATCACGTACTCACAAAATCTAGAAATCATTTGTTCAGAGGAGGGGAATGTATAGCATTACATAGTGAACATGAAACAGTCACATAATTGGTTCTAGCAACTGTAATAGTGAATTTATTAGATTCTAGCTCGAAACTATATGGTATTGTCAATAGATATATAAACTAGTATGTCATCATAATTGGTTGATATGGTAAGACCCATCTTCACATGACATGTGTATGCGAGCAGGCAGAGCACAAATGTAGAAAAACTACAGCACTTAACAGAATCCACCAAATTTAGGGCACATATTTTGAAAAAAAAAAAAATCAACATACTTTAATAGACTTGGCTTAATAGAAAATTCTGAAACTTACAGTCTGGCTTTTTTCTTCTCTTTGTACCTCATCATAACATTTTCTCTAGCTTCCAGATCTGCACACTCTATTCCAGGTGAGTAACATGAAACTTCCTCTCTTGTAATCGGGGAAAATCCGCTATCAAGACATTCAGTACCAGTGCTTTCTGCACTAAACCTTGACATAGCGAAGGACATAGTCGAATAAGATGATCTAATTGTACGAAGAGGATCCACACTTCCAGCAAAGTCATGAATTTGGTTAGAAGGACAACCATTTTTCGCCATCATAGCAGATGGAATGATGTAGGCTGGTGAAGGCACGGAGGCATCCTTTCATGATTGAAAATTTTGAAACAAGAAGGGAAAATAAATCATGTATGTGAAAAAAAGAAAACTAGTAGACTGACTAAACATGTGGCCTTTAAGAACTTTTTGAAATACCTACAGAAAAAGAGGCTCCATCTCTTTCTAAATTCATGTCTATCGCCAGCTTGAACCATCAAAATCAAGAAATTATAGGATGCACATACTTATATGATCTAGAATTCTACATGGATTCCGCGTTACTTTCCTAGGCTAACTACACGTGTGAGAGTTCCCAAAAAATCTTTGTAGTCATTTCACATCATCAATTAATATTCCACACCCAAAAGATGATAAAGTGCTCACATTATTTGATGTTTTAGATTCCAACAAGGAGACCTGTCACAGTGCCAAGAAACCACTGCCAAGTAATGCTTTATTCTAAAAAATGGTATGATGTTCACGTTAGATGATGTTCATAAGCATATAAGGTCAAAATCTTCAGAAATTTAAAAAGATAATATGCATATCAATTGGGTGTCCTAAAGGTTCTAGAAATTGAAAGTCACAAACTTATACTGCTTATGCTATTTATTCAATTTCCTTTCCAAACTAGTCCAGAGATATCCATGTATATGTGTTAGAGAAGAGATGCCTGAATTCAAACCTCCATTGCTTTTGCATTTGCATTGTCTGATTTATCAATGGAAATATCCTTCTCTACAGAGGAGCATGACTGATTTTTTTCATCAAGCAATGCTCTGACTGGATCTTGATCAGCTCCAAAGAGTTCCTCGAAGTTCCGGAATGTCAGATCAACATCAGGTATATTGAAGTAATCATGGTGAACAATGTCTTCACAAACACCAAGGTCTAACATATTATGGGGCCATAACTGCAAAAATTATATAAGTTAAGAGTCCCCTATACAATCTGCTCGTCACTTGTAATTGGAGATTGTATGCAACTGTATTTACAGGTTATATATCAACCTTTAACAAACCAATACTTTTCTAATACCCAGATACCTAGGCAGAGTGGAAAACAGAAAAAGATAGCTCCCTAGCAACAAGTTAGATCTATTGCTTCATGAATACTGACATTTACTGTAGGTATAAATCAGTAGAACAATATAAGGGGGTCAAAATCTGTGTTAATGGTGATAACGTCTCTGAAATTTAGAATTTTATAACTCCACTTTTTTCACTTTTGAGCGGATAAAAGCTCCTTGACCAAGCAATTATCCTGCAGCAAACTTAAAGAAGAAGATGAAATTAAATAGATCAAGTTTGAAGACAACTATATGTAGTTGATATAAACATAAGCATCTGAGAGTCAGCCAATTGCTGCATACAAACCCCAGTTCAAATAATCAAATTATGAATGTTTAAGAAATTCAGAACCAAAAATTGGATTAAGCTGACTGATAAAGAGAAAGCGATTAGAGAACTATGGCAACTTATTCTTCATAAAAAGAAAGCATATTATCAATTAATCTGTATCCATAGGAACTCCTAAGTTCTCAAGGATTATTAGTTTCAACAAATAAGAAAGGATCTATCATGAATATTCTGGGAATTGGACCAAACCTGACCACACTGAGTTGGACTTTTCCATTGCCAAAAGGATTCTCCACCCAAGCTAACCCCAACGGTTGAAGTAGACGATAAATTCTCCAGTTGAGTAAATGGTGATGGCACGGGATCCAGCTTTAGCTCCTGAAGTGGATTGGAGACTTGCTGGAGATCAGTACCAGGATCCTGGGAAAGTTGTGAATTCTGATCATACGATGAAGACTTTTCATTTTG